TGGCAGGTACCCCTCGACGACGATAGCACCAGGCTCACAGCGTTCATGACGCCATGGGGTGCCTACCGTTTCAAGCGGAACGTCATGGGCTTGGTGTCGGCAGGTGACGAACACAACCGGAGAGGAGACGAAGTGTTCGCCGGGTTTTCGAATCTTCAGAAAGCGGTAGAGGATGTGATCGTGTACGACACTGAGCTTGAGGCGCACACCCAGAGGGTTCGCAATGTGCTCAAGCTTTGCTCGGAAAACCAAATCACACTGAACCGCCGCAAATTCGTCTTTGCGGCACCCAGAACATCGTACTGCGGATTCGTGGTGATGCCGGACGGCTACAGTCCTGATCGAAGCTTGGTGGAGGATCTACACAACTTTCCAATCCCTACCAACCGCACTGATATCCGATCCTTCTGTGGACTCGTGCAGCAGTTCGACGCGTTCACGCCGCGACTAGCGGAGCTTCTATCCCCGATCCGCTCTCTGCTCTCTCCAAAGAATGAGTTTATCTGGGAGGATCCGCAGCAGCAGGCATTTACAGCTATACTAGAGGAGCTGGTAAGCCCTCGAGTGTTGGCTACCTTCGACCCTGCACAGCCGCTTCGTCTCGAGACAGACGCCTCGCAGTCCAACGGTCTCGGCATGGCACTGTGGCAGCAGCAAGTGGACGGGCGTCTAGTGCAATGTGCTTCACGGCACGTCACTGAGACCGAGGCCAGGTACTCTGCAACGGAGATTGAACTGCTGGCGGTAGTCTGGGCAGTCCACAAGGCTAGACTGTTCCTGGCCGGTGCTGATTTCGAGCTGCTAGTCGATCACAAGCCGCTCATTCCTATCCTGAATGCTAAGACGCTGGATGAGTTGACGTCTCCACGAATCGTGCGACTACGAGAGAAGCTGACGCCTTTTCGGTTCGTGGCTCAGTGGAGACCGGGTGCCGATCACAAGGTAGCAGATTGCCTGTCGAGACACCCAGTACGTGCACCAGACCCTGACGATGAAGCTGGTGAGGAAGAAATCGAGCACTGCTACTGTGTTCTCCGTCAGCTGTCGCAAGGGGACGAGGAAACAGGCCATACAGTCCTCCCCGACCTTGGCATTACGAAGGTGCGGGCGGAGGGCTCGACGGACCCGGAATACCTCAAGCTGCTGAACGCCGTAAAGAACGGCTTTCCGGTGGACAAGGCTGCTCTGGACCTCGATCTGCACCCGTACTGGCAGGTTTGGCATGCCCTGTCGGTCGAGGACGGCATAGTGTTGTTGGGTCACCGTATTGTCGTTCCCAGAAGGAAACGCCAGACCACGCTGGAGCAACTTCACGCTTCTCATCAGGGACAGACCCGCACACTCCGCAGGGCCAGGCAAGCAGTGTACTGGCCCCAGATCTCCAATGACGTTAAGAACGTCGTCCAGACTTGCAGATCCTGCATCACGCTGCTCCCCTCCCAACCTTCTGAGCCGCTCCTCTCTGACAGTCGTCCGTCCACACCCGTCGAAGATGCAGCTGCGGACCTCTTCTCCCTAGGCGGCTTCGAGTACCTGGTTCTCACCGACAAGTGTTCCGGCTGGCCATTTGTTGGGCGTTGTAGGAGGTCGGCTACCACGTCTGACGTCACCAAACATCTCGTTCAGTGGATGTCGGACGTTGGCGTTCCTACGCGCCTCACGACGGATGGTGGGCCGCAATTCAGATCTTCAGCGTTCGCTTCGTTCTGCTCAGAGTGAAACATTTGCCACGACCCCAGCAGCCCGTACAATCCTCAGTCAAATGGCGCGGCTGAGGCGGCGGTCAAGGCCATGAAGCACTTATTAATGAAAATCGGCAAAGGTGACGCTTATAACAGCAGTGCCTTCAGAGAAGGGTTGCTGGAATGGCGTAACACGCCTGGGCCAGGAGGAGCAAGCCCGGCCCAACTGCTGTTTGGAAGGCCAACGAGGACCAAGGTTCCCACACTTCCTGCAAATCTGCAGCAGTACGCTGCCCACAGCCGCAGTGCTCCCCAGCAGGTCTCATCCCAGCTTGGCAAACCTCTGCCCCCTCTGCACGTAGGCGATAAGGTATGGATCCAGAACCAGTCTTCAAAACGCTGGAATATGGAAGGAACGGTCACAAAATGCACGAGAAGAGGACGGAGCTACACAGTGCAGACAGTGACGGGGTCCAGCTTCTGGCGGAACAGACGGTTCCTCCGGCCACGTGCATAGATTGACTGGGCATGCTTCTCTTGCTTTTTCCTTGTTGCTTGTGCGCTACGCTGTGATTTTCGAATTTCGGTTTCAGGATTTTCTTTGTGTTAGTGCTCCCAAGTCGCACTCAAGCCGAGGGGGCATGTGGTGATATTTTAGCACCTTTCCCTGCATGGGTCCTGGTACTCAGGCTGCTAGTGCTGCTGTTCGCACCCTAGGCCCTGCACTGCGGTACCTCTGGCGCCTTGCACGTAACACATTCACATGTCACCTTTCAAGCCGCCTTTGCAGCCAGCTTCCCTTTAAAAGCCATTGCGTTTTACTGATGATTCATTCTCATCTTTCGAAGAGTTGGTCTGCCTTGAGCAGGACACAACAGAGGTGAGGATCTTCCTATATATAGGTCCAAGGCACCTTCAAGGATGTCAGTGAATGCGGAGACAGCCGTGTCGATGCAGTGGGAGGCAAGGACCTGAGACCAGGGTACATCTGCGAGAAAAACATTCATGGCATTCCACATGTTATCCGTGGCGCTCAGGACATTGTAGTTTTGTGTACATGGTGGGCTACGGCAGGTGCTGGCTGCTGTGGGGGAAGACTTTGAGGAGGAGAACTCAGCCAGCAGGACGGCATGGTCTGATGCGCCAAGAGGATCCAGGTGTTGAATGTGGTTGAGTTGGTTAGGGATGTTGCTCGCGCTAAGGTCTAGACAGCTGCGAAGTCCATTCGAGCAGAGGTGGGTGGGAAAGGTTACTGATTGGGTCAAATTATAGCATGAGAAGAGGTTGTCAAGACTCAGACCCTGTGCATCCGTTTGGTCAGTTGAGCATCAGCCGGAATACCTACAGTTGAAGTCGCCTGATATCAGAAGGTTTGGAGGCGGTCGAGAAAAGTCGAGAAGTCATCTGTCGACGGGGAAGGAGCACGGTAGATACAGGCTGCTGTTAGGTGGGTTGTCGGCAGGTCAGAAGGTGAGACAAGCTTATGTTCAGCGAGTGTAAGCCGAAGTGCTAGCGCTTCCAAGTCCGGTTGCTGAAAATCCGGTGGCTGATCAATGGAATTACACAGACCTTCACGAACTAAGATTAGAACTCCTCCGTGTGGGTCACGGTTCTGTCTATTTTCTAAAACAGGTCGGTCTCGACGGAAGCATTCATAGTGTGGCACGTGGAAAGCTTGTATGGGAGTTAGCCAGGTCTCTGTGCTGCATACTACGCTGGGTGTGTGATCCTCACAGATTTGAATCAGTTCGCCAGACTTGTTTGCTATGGAGCGGATGTTATAAATTGTCCAATTTTCCTACTTTTTCAGGCATTTATAATACCTGGGATTCGAACCCGCACTATCGCCCTACTTGCATTCCCCCATACACTTCGCATTCATACTCATTCTTCCAAGTTGCTTCACGTTATGATCTTGCATTTGAAAGCCCTATTTGAATAGTGCGGCCAGCTGTATGTGGCCAGCGGTGTTTGATAGTACGGTACGGTACGAGACAGATACGGGATAGCGCCAGGCGTGACACAAACACACAAACAAACAACAAATTAAAGCTGTGTGGACCCTGGCTAGCGCCAGACGTTACTGAAGTAACGTCTTCTGCATAGCTACGGGAATAAAAAAAATACACTTAAGCACAGCCGTGTGTGGTCGGTATACCATATTAATGGGTAAGCGGTTCTCTAGATACGGCATGAACGAGACTCTTCACATTTTCCGCGCAACGATTGGCGATAACTTTCTGGACAACGATAAGATCATACTCAATCTCGACGCTCCTCAGAAAGCAGGTGGGATTACCAAAGACTAGTATTCCATGCCTCTGAATTGCACAAGCCGCGAGGAGTGCATTTCAAGAGAGGCAAAGTGAAGAGCCGGTCTGCGGATCACATCTGGAGTGCTAATCTAGTTGGCGAATGGTTGTAGAACTTGACTCTTGACTTAATTCTTTCGGTGCTACATGTATCATGTGTGGAAACGAATCTGGTCATTTGTGGCTGTTGGCAGAACGTCTACTTATGGCATCGCATTTAGTTTTTTTATCTCTATATCTAGACCCGGATGGAAAATCAAAGGATAATTTCTAAGGAGAAAAAGGACAAAAGAGCTACTTTGAAGTACAAATTGAAATTACGCTTTAACTATTATCCACTTACACTACCATTTGCCAGTTATGATTGCCAGTTAGGTGTAGAACATTAGTACCGTTGGTCAGTGTCGTGCAATGTTATCGCATGAGCTGATTGTAAAGTAATGAGCCGCGCCATGACAAAAGGGTGCTTATGGCACAAATGTCACAAACTGAGTTATGGATACAGCGCAATGGCTGAATTCTGACCGCTTCTGTTGCAAAAAACCGCAATCATGAAGCTTGATAAATCGCAACGAAAACTAATCGAATTCAAAAAGAAAATGTGTACTCTCAATATTGCATACTCAACTTTCAAACGAGTTTTCTCAGTTTGATGTCGCATGCCATAAGCACCCTTTTGCCGTGTCGCGGCTCAATTGTTGTGCTAGTGTATAATAGAGCGTAACTTGTAGCTCGTTGGCCCTCTTTCTTCTTATCTCTATATTGCTTGTTTATTGCATGTCTTCATTCATAATTTTATCAATAAAGTTCATCACCATTTTCTGGTAGCCAGACCATTAACTTGGTGAGAAGGCATCGGTACCTGTTCATGTGATGAAGTGAAGTAAAATGCCACAGTCATAGTAGTAAGCTTGTCTTACTATTGGACGTCCCATTCAGTGCCCTGAATTAATGACTTTTAGTCTAAATTATCCATGACTGGTACCTTTCCTCAAATTGTACTCACTATTTATTCGGGATTCAGGTGGGTAATCCATGGTGCAGTTTCCATTTCCGCAGTCTTCCACTGTGTTTTGGCAGTCTTCAGCTATGTAACAGTAGGATTGATGCAGGCTTAATTCCTTCTCACAAGTGCAAATGTAAGTAGAGCCTGCTTTTTTGCATTGTGTGTATCCAAAACAAATTGGAAATTGTCCATTTGCCAGGCATGTGTATCCAGGTGATGAACAATTCGGCGCAATAACTGGTACGGACTCATTACAACGGCAGTAGTAGTCAGCGCTTCCCTTATTGTTGAACTTCTGGAAATGTCCAGGTGCACAGGACTTTGACACTGGATAGCATAAGACATGAATAGACGAGATATAGTTTGACACTACGCTGACAAACCATAACTGCCTGGCTCTTAGAAGTAGAACACCCTTCAGTCTCAGGAACATTTTGAAAGTTTTCACTAGTACGAAATACAGTTTCATGCCTGATCATTAAACCATGGGACAATGGATTAAAATTAATAGAAATGTTGTATTGCCCTTCCTACTTGCACTAGTTCTATCACCTCTCTAGTTTATTTAATCCATTGTCCATAGTCATTTGATTTTGCCTGTATTTCACCTGATGATAAGGCATGAAACTATACTAGTGAAAACCTTTAAAATGTTCAAGAGCCTTAAGTGTGTCCTACTTCTGAGTTTAAAAAGGAGAAGAGACTAATAAGTTACTAGTTATGAATAACAGTTAAAGATAACTTATACAGTAACCAAACGAAAAACAACAAAACTAACAAGGATATTGAGACATTCGACAACTGGACACCTACTTGAAGTAGCTCCAAAACATCTACGAAGCGCAAACCAAAAACCGTCCAACTTGGAAGGCTGAGATGTAGAAAGTTCCAATTAGGCGTTGTTTTCGCACTACTTGTCTGTAAATGATACCGTAACCTTGGTAGACTGTTAGTCATAACTAGTCACGTACTGGTCCTTTTCTCGTCTTTACCTATTGTGTTGGTTCACCATCCGCGTGTAAATAGACACACCTGATCAGCCGTCACCCACAATATGGCAGGACGTACGTCATGGGAAACTACTAGTTATTGTACCTAACTTGTCCTTCATTGTACATGAACATCGCGTTTAGTAGAATACTGTAGTGACTTTCTGTTTGTGGCAGTTCGTTTTCAGAAGTCGATGATACCATTTTGATTTGGCCCATCGATTCAGGTTTCGCAAGTCGTCATGCAAATGTCCTTGGCAACTACGAAAACTGGAGGTAGCTTGGTATACGGGTGTTTATATGCACACTTGCATGGATCATGGAATCGAGGGATAAAATGTGTACCTGGAAAAACATGTGCACAGGTCCTCCCTCGTTAGTAGATAATCTCTGGGCCATCGATTTTTTTGTATCTTTAACACAAGTCTCTGCATGCCCCGCTCACATAACGAGCCACCAGCTTGGGGAATAGGAGGGTTTGTTAATTGCTTCGCCAGGCTCGGAGTGAGTGAGTTAGGAGTGTTAGAGCTGTGCGAATGTTTGTGTATGGCAGCTGGGCAGGGCTGCAGAGGCTGAGTGAGCTCTATGCAGGCAGTCGGGCAGGACCTGCTGGGGAGACTGAGTGAGCCCTATCCAGGCAGTCGGGCAGGGCCTGTTGCGGAGGCTGAGTGAGCTCTATGCAGGCAGCTGGGCAGGGTCTGCTGCGGAGGCTGATTGCTGGGGCCGGACAGGGCCTGCTGCGGAGGCTGAGTGAGCTCTATCAGCGACACGAAAAAGAAAAGAGAAGGCACTATGAGGAGCCGGTGAGGCAGGTTGAGCAAGCCTCCTTTGTTCAGGCGGTCATGTCAGCCAGTGGCGGAATGGGTCCAGCATCAACAGCACTGTATAAACGCAATGCTCATCTGTTGGCTGAGAAGAGGGGTGAGCACTACTCTCATGTTATGGCATTTGTTAGATGCAGGATTTCCTTTAGCCTTCTGAAATCTTGTATCATGTGCATTCGCGGTTGTAGGCGTTTAAATTTTAGTTTGAAATTTTCACCCTCCTGCGGAGCCCACGCTGCTTTGGCAGTGGCTCGCTTGCCCACGTAACCGTCGGAGACCATCATGAACAATGGACTGACTAATTATTTACTTGTCCTGTCTTTCTAAATAACATGTTATTGCACATGTTCTTGTTTTAATTTTTGGCACGTTTCGTACTTTGGAGTTATTTGTTGTTTTTGGAGAGTGAGCTCTATGCAGGCAGCTGGGCAGGGTCTGCTGGGGTCGCTGATTAAGCTCTATGCAGGCAGCTGGGCAGGGCCTGCTGGGGAGGCAGAGTGAGCTCTATGCAGGTAGCAGGGCAGGGCCTAGTGCCACTTGCTGTTGTTGTTCCTCCGGCTGCTGAGATTGTTCGTCCTCCTGGTGCCTCTGTCGCTGGACCGTCGTCAATTGATTGTTTCAAGCTTCTGAGTCTTCTTGCTCCGTCTGATCCTGTTCTGGCTGAGAGTTTCTCCAGTTATGATGCTGCCAGTGGCAAGTTTGTTCGTCCGCCTGAAGCCGTATCCCGTCCTCCCGACTGTTGTTGTTTGTTGTTGTTGTTTATTTATTTTACATCGCAGGGCAAACAAGCAGTTCTGCCCAATATTATGGAAGCGATGACAACCAGTAAGAAGAGTCAGAAATGAAGCGAAAAATAAATTAAAATTAAACAACAAAAATGGAAGTAGCAATGAGGGGAGGCAGGGTCAAGACGAGCAGAAAAAAATGGATCTCAAATTTACAAGTCGGGTCATCGTAGCATGATTCTATCGAGCCTCATCAGCAGGTTACGAAAGCCATTTCATTTAACCGAAGTAAAATACGCGTAGCATGCGTTTGAATTCGCGGACAGATACTATGGACTTCATACAGTCGGGCAGGCCATTCCAGAGTCGGCAGCTGGCTAGAAGCGGTCGGCATGCGCCAGAAGCACTGTGGGCAGGGGGAGGGGAAGGTTGCGTTCCGATTGACCTCGAGTGGTCATTGCTGTCGGCGGGCCTTGCAATACAATTCGGAACGACAACAGCTCACTGACGATTCCAGAACGGATTCAAAATGTCAGGAGTCGGAGCTTGCATTCTCCTCGGTCCAGTACTGGGCAGACACCCAGCCTGGTGTACAAGGGAAGAGTGTGGGCCAATGGGTGCTCATCGGCCACGCAACGGATGCAACGTTTATCCAGTTTGGCTACTGTGTTCCGCTGCTCAGCGGACAGTCCCGGGAGAAACGCATTCGACGCATATAGAATATCCGGTATGACAAGGGCAGAGTAATACAGCATCGCCTGCCTCACTGTTAGGCAGTGCCGGATCTGGTGGAGGATCCGCAGCTTCATAGCCGTGCGTCGGGCGATAGAGGTGACTTGCGGTGACCAGCGAAGATTTTCGTCCAGAGTGACTCCGAGGTAGCGAGCCGTGCTGGTCTGGGCAAGAGACGTGCCAGTGCAAGTAATGTGGAGGTCGAGGTGTGCCTGCCGTCCAGCTTTGATTGCAAGAACTTGCGTCTTTCCGGTGTTGAGGATAAGCCCTTTGGCATCGAGTAGCCTGGCGACAGCCGACACTGCTGCGGAAAGGGTGATGTTGATGGCGTGAGCGCTAGCGTGGCTCAGGTGCAGCATGATGACGTCCGCGAACATTAGTGTACGCACCGGGTCAGCTACTGATTCGACACATCTCGTGCAGATCGCGAATAATATCGGGCCAAGCACGCTACCCTGGGGGACACCGCACGTGCAAGCTGTTTCCTCTGAGCGTGTACCGTTGGTAGTGACCACACTGGCGTCGTGCGCTGAGGTAGTCCGCAAACCTGTCCAGTGCCGTAGAGGAGACACCAAGTTCGAAGAGATCCTGGAGCAAGGTCTGATGTTGGACCTTGTCGAAAGCTTTGCTCATATCAATGAGCACCACGCCGGTATGCAGGTGCTGGTCTGCGGCTTCGTAAAATTGATCCACAGCCAACAAGTGTCAACCGCCCGCCGTTACTACTTCTCGTTCTGACCCGCTGGCGCTACCTGATGATGGTCCGCCACTTCAGCCGCCGTCCTCTGGTCCAGTTAGTACTTCTTCTCCTGTTTCTCTTCGTTCTGGCCGTGTTCGCACTGCACCTGCTCGACTACAGTCAGTTTCAAAAAGATTAGCAATCCTGGTGATCGCCCGGGGAGTTTGCCGTCTTACCGTATGAGCGCTCGAGCGCTGCCTGGAAAAACTCACTGTGAACTCGAAAGCATGAAAAATGACAACTCACTGAGGTCGATGTCGGTACAGTCGTGTACGTCTGGTTCACAACAAACGAGTTCTTCCTCGTATCGATTATGGAGTCAGAGAGGACATGTCGAAAGTGTAGTAAATGCCAAGGCTGACGAGCGGCATGGGTCCCAATATGTTTTGTGACCAAATAGTTTCTTTGAGCTGCGATCCAATTTACTCTCACCATGTGACGAAAACGACATCGACACAGACTCATTCCCAAGGCCATGACTTGGCGAAGCTATCCGTATGACTTCGACAACATTTTAAGAAAAGCAGACGCCTGTGGAAGCTGATAGAAGACGGCGTTGACTTCTAAATTCAAATAAATTGGTGATCTTGAAATACTAAAATAATTCTCAAAAAGAAATCGATCGATCGATGTGCCGGTGTATTCAACACGTAGCTACAGCGCAATGACTTCCGTATTCACTCACACCGTTTCAGTGTTTCGGGTGTGTTCACATGGCGTGAGCCAGTCAAGTGTCAGTCGGGAGGAAGCGGGAGCTCCAACAACAACAATCGTGAACAACAACAAGTCTGCTTGATCCCTGACCAAAAAACAATGAAAAAAAGTGTGAGGTGAAGATAGGTTGGGATTTGAACTCACAACTTCATGGTCAGCAGACAGCATCCATAACCACAAGGCCAGAAAGGAAAAGGTAAATCGTGGGTTTTGATAGAAAAATCGATACTGGCTTCCAGGGCAAATTGCAAACCATGGGAAAAGGCCGGAAACCTGGCCGAAATTCTAACTCCTTAACGGCTGGTCCACTTGTTCCGAAACCTTCACAGAACAATTTGCCGTGCCCTAACCAGCCCTTTTATGTACTTCGTTGTCCAATTTTCCCTTATCTTTGTTTCGGGGTAAACAAGTTAGTTGTTTACGATAGGATTATATTCTCACTTGGCCATTGTAGGCAAATCATAAGGACCCGACATCTAAAGGATCCTGCATGAAAGTAGGCAGCTGCGAGATGTGTATCTCGCGCATGCTCTTGCATGGCTACGTAATGCATTACATCATAATACAACATCCCCTTCGTCATAAAGGAGTTTAACAACCTACA